AAGACGTAAGTTTGTGTTTATAATGGTATTTGTAAAATAAAACACTATTTTATTCATAATGTTGAACTCCTCTTTGAGCAAATCCCTTGAAGGATCATAGGTATTAGCAACACCTGTGAAATTGTATTTGCAGGAAAGAAGTGTGTCCCGTTTATTGAAGTATTTTGTGTTTAGAGTTGTTGACGTCTTGTCCATGCGTAGTTCAGGTACGCTCATAGCTGCTAGCCAAAACTCTGGAGTTAAACGTTTTCTGGCTTTACTAAAATACCTGTCTACTTATTTGATTGATGGTAGTTTTACTTTCTATTAGACTCCAAATGTAATCATTTAGCAGGTTTCTAATTCATAATTTGTAAGAATGTAATCGGTGATATTAGCATTAGCATTCCTATGGGTTTTTCCATGCAAATTAGCATTGCGCTAACCACTCGCTGCCAAATTGCAGCCTTTGCGATTAGAAAATCTCCTTTTGTCACATCGCAATTTAATTGCACATGCAGTTAATCATTCAGCCCTAATATGCATGCAGCTCTATGCTAAAAGTGTATTTTCAAAGAGGTAATGATGGATTTCTTTGTAAAAGTTGTCCATCTTTCCAACAGAAAAATTTGCCTGGACCAACGTAACGTGATTACGTAACTTCCGTGAGGTTCATGTTTTACGTGAGGTTCATGTTCAGCCAATCAACTACTTTGACGTCATCAGCAGTCGAAGGACCCCGAGCCGATCTTGCACCCGAGCAGATCCTGCACCGACACCGGCAGGACATGCCTGAAACACCTCCCTGGGCAGGCGTCCAGGAGGCATCCTAACAAGATGCCCAAACCACCTCAAATGACTCCTTTCGATAGGGAGGAGCAGCGGCTCTACTCTGAGTCTCTCCCGAATGTCCGAGCTCCTCAACCTATCCCTAAGGCTGAGCCCAGCCACCACGCAGAGAAAACACATTTCGGCCACTTGTATCCGCCATCTTGTTCTTTTGGTCATTACCCAAAGCTCATGACCATTGGTGAGGACTGGGACGTAGATCGACAGGTAAATTTCTACATGGTAAGTTTCGATGCCTGTGCAAACTTCTATTTACTGCACCTCAACGCAAATAAAAAACACTTTTATTCGAGGCTCTGAAGCACATAAAGCGATGCAAACAGAATCGTTTGACCACTTTGACAAAAGAACAAAACAAAAGAAGGCAGCATGTCGAGCCCCTGTGCCAAGAGAACTTGTCTAATAAAAGCCGAACATGCAGCTCGGGAACACCCTAGAGAGCGGGAAGTTTCCACAAAGCTTTCAGTTGCGTCTCACAAACTGGGCTTCTCCGTGTTAGAGTGGGCAATCTGTTCGCTCCGGTTCGCTTTACATCACAAGTCCGTCAGCCTGTAAATCCTCCCAGTGAAACACGACTCGAGTCCACCTCTGGGATGTTTACAGACACCTTTGGGAGAAAGTCTGCCCGGTGAGCTCATAACCAAATGTGCCTCCTGCTGCTGCTGCTGCTATACTGCCTGATTTTTAATACACACGCTGAACTTTTACTGCATAATAAATGAGAAAGTGATTTCCTTTGGCGGATCACAAATGCTAATATATACTACTCTGTCCTTTCTTTTGATGAGATGACCAGACGCAGAGAGGCATCTGTGTCCTTTCAGGAATAATCACGGAAAAATCTATCAGGATTTTTCCATTCTTTACTCTCACAGATTTGCATGCAGCACCACTGTCATTTTCCTCTCTGAGGAAGTCTTCATGTGTTTTTATCTGTGTTTTAAGGCAGGGGTGTCAAACTCAAACTCACAAAGGGCCGAAATGAAACTCTGGGACGGAGTCGAGGGCCAAACTTAATATTTTTGAAAAAGTGACGGCAAATTTGCACATTTTCTTTATCAACATGTATGCAATTTTGAACCTTTAAATTTGGAAACAAACATATTTCTGCATTAACACTGAATATGGAATAACCAAATTACACACGAGCAAGTCAGGTTTAAATAAAACACATCAGTGGTATTCATTACTTGTGGTATAATCAGCATTTTTAAAATCTATTCAGGATTTATGTTTTCTTGTTTATTCATTTTTCTTATTTTTTATTCTCCTTTTTTCTCCTGTAATACGTGTCATCGCTGCTGTGACGTCTAGCTTTCCCCACTGAGGAACAATAAAGGGATTTTCTATTCTATTCATCTATCTGCAGCCTTTCCACTTCCTGTTTACTGTAGGTTAAATCTTTTCTCACGGGCCAACAACAAAATAAACATATCATTTTATCTTAAATGAAAATGCAACATCTCACCTGTTAACTTTCATGTTTTGGAGCAGAAAAAGAGCATCAAACCAACATATTTAAAGCTCAGTTTGCTCCACTGGTTTACTGTGATGCTCACCTGTTCCAGCCAGATACCTGCATCATGGGGTTGATCTGAGCTGAGGAGGAGACTCCTGTTGTTTTGTTCATCTTCATCATAATAATGACAACATTAGATGACAACAGGTGCTCACATAGGTTTGTGCTGCTGAACATGTCTGAGCAGCTTGACCACGTTGTTGTGTGTCGGGGAGGAAAAATAACAACTACAGCAGCCACAGAGTCGTGCTGGTTTGAGCGTGTCGCTGCTCGCTGGAGTTATATCAGCTCTGTCTGGACGTTAGTTGGAAAAATTAATCTTTCAGTCGTGAACACGTTACTGAGCGGCTAGAATCTCCGTTTCTGGGCTTCAACGTCGGCAAATAGCTGAGTGAACTCGGCGATGAGTGAGAGGAGTGTAAATTGTCTGAGACAGCGGAGCTGCAGACACCCGGCAGAAGACGCTAGAAAAAACACAAAGGAGGGGGCGCTTCGGCTCCGCGCTGACGGCGCAAAGCATCGTGGGAGTTGAAGTCTTTGCGGTAAAATCGGCCAGCGGGCCAGTTTTAATATATTTTTGATATTTATCTCGCGGGCCACATAAAATGACTCTGACATATGTGTTTTAAGGTATTTGTTGTGTTGTTTTTACTGATGTTTCATTGTTTTATGTGCTTGTTTTCTTTTTACTGTCCCTGTAAAGCCTCTTGGTGGCATTTATCATGTCTGTAAGGCGCTATACAAATACAACAGAGTTGAGTTGGAAGTCACGTGTCGTCCTCCAGGAGTGACCAGACACGTGACACAGTCAAGATGGCGGTGGTGGGAACCGCCCACTAAGTTTCAGCTCAGCTCTACAGAAACCTACGGGTGACAGCAGCACAGAGGGTCCATCTATTATATATACAGTCTATGGTGCAAAGGGAGCGTAACAGAAAAAATATCGACTAATTCTGTGATGGTGTGTTCATGGGCAGGAAAACATGGTTGATTTTCTTTAAAAAGGGTGACTAATGACTAAAATAAAGTGATTTTTTTTATTTTTTGGTTGGCCGATCACTGAATTTTGGTCGATTCCAATCATCAATTAATTATTTTACATTTAGTTTCACATCTGAATGTTGCATAAACTGTAAGAACTATTTCTCTAAACACGGGCTGTTCAAGAGGCTATCCACACAGGGTAAGAGTTTGATTATTTGTAACTTTTACACAAAAAAAGCTCCAATATGCCTCCAAAATTCCCTTTAATGAGAGACTGCTCCATAGCTGTGCTTGTGAACCAGGAGTTGTTTTTATTTTTACTTCGGTGTGTTAAAAAGTTATAAAATGTATTCAAACCTCAACTAAACATGGGGATAAGAGGACTAAGTGAAGAGTTCTGAGAAGGAGTGAATTTCAGGCCAAACCTCTATTTTTAGTCCATCAGACCCAAAAACGTTTCTGTTTCCACTCCTCCTGAAAACTGGGTTGTGTTCTGTTTAAATCACGGACTCTTGTCCCTGCATGCGGACGTCCTCCAGTTCAATAACACTCCAGGAACAGCATCAATGCTAATCTTTTACTCCATCAAACGAACTCCCAGCTGCAGGAAGCGGTTGCAGCTTTCGTTTCCGGGCAATGACAATATCTCTTGATGGTTTATCCTCATCAGCCTGACTGGTTGATGGTACGCCTCTGTGGATTCTGAGCAATGAGCCAAAAACTATCAACAGGGACCCGATAATCCTCCATGGGCTTCGATGAGTGCGGAGCTGAACTCCTAAAATGCTGAAAAGAGGAGGCTGGAAGAGAAACGGCTGAAGTTTGGGATTAAATTATAATATATGAGATTAGACAGGCGAGTCGGATGTTAGGAAAGTGATGAACAAAGTTTTTTTTTAATCTGTTTTGAAGGCAAACAGCTTTTCTGTTTGTTTTAATGAAAAAGAACAACCCTCAACTTCTTGATTGTTTGGGGAAATGCAAAGTAAAGCTCCAAAAGCAAAAAGAGGAGCAGACACCCTTCACACGCTACTGGAAAATGAAAGGGTCTGAAATCTCACTCACGGTGCCGCCCATCTGACTGGTGGCCATCATGCCAACTACTGTGTTGCCATAGCAACGGTGAGTGAAGAAAAGACTAAAACAAGTGTTCTTTTCACTTCAAAAGCACCAAAAACGATCACGGCACACACACAGATTATAATTCATACATACAGGAGATTATGTTCTTAAAAACGTTGCTTCCTGGACCACCAAGCTGCCCTAAGCTCATCATCGCTGTAATCTTGACGCTCAGATTGTGTCTGTGGATTTTTAAATAATGATGCAACCTGGACTGCACCTTGCTCGATGCATCAAAGCAGTTCGGCACACCAGGAATTAGACGGTTTAACTGTGATGACTCTTAATCTGCTCATTATTTTGCAAATAAACTTGATGCCAAACTAAAACGAGCCCTACAATCAGACCCAGTGAGAGGAAATGCACAAATAAAGTAGTGTGAGAGGGCTGTGCAGCTTTAACGCTGAATATCATCAGTTTGTCGCGTTTTCTTGTGAAACTAAGAAAGGCAAAAGATTACAGCAAGGAGGTCATTTACCTCTAGAGGATAATCCAGCCATCATTAAGACATCGGAGAAGATTGAAGTAGAGATTTTAAGGGTATTACCTCCAGTCGTTGCACCATCTCCCTGATGTCTTCGCCGCAGTTGTCGTGGACGGAAAGCATGACGCACTCCCCACGCTCGTAGAAGATCTTAATGCTCATAATCCCTGAGGTCCATCCGATCACATCGCGGCACGAACAGTTAAACACCACATTTTTCGACTCCTCCTCAATGAGCACGATGAACTCATTGGATATGCCAAGCAAGCAGTCCATGTCCATGGCCTGGCTGAAGTCCCGGGCGCAGACGCTCCAGGTGACGGCTCCCACGCTGAGCAGATGAGCGTCCTTCCTGGGTTTGACTTTCTCCTTTTTCTTGGCTCCGAGCGAGATGAAGCTGAATTTGACGGCCGAGTCCACGGTAGCTGTGCTGACAAAGTTCTCGGCGAGGTCTTTCAGGTACTCCTGCCGCGTGCGAGTGGCCATGACTCTGAACTTCTCCGACTTGTGAGCGGCGTTCTCGCCGTTGATCACCTTGGCGAGCAGGAAGTCCCTGAAAACCGCCGACTTTGGGAAAGTTACGGACTTGGGAATAGGGGGTCCAAAGGGAGGCACGTCCTTGGATCTGGATACAGCCACACTAAAAAATAAATAAATAAAGAGTGTAAAAATGTATTCATAAGGAGCGGGCTCTCGTCACAGAAATGACACGGCAGGCAGGAAAAGCTGCTCTGTTCAGCAAGGCCTGTGTTATTAGCGAGAGTTGCCCCGACTTAAAAACACCTGATCGTTCCAAGTCATAATTTCAAGGTGTCTCTGAAGATAATAACTATATCATCTGTGAGCAGATGAAACGAGCCCTGTGATTTGTGCACATTACTATAAAGTAATGACAGAAAGCGCAGAAAGAACTCAGCAGGCTGTTATTATTACGCTTTTAAATTAGAACCTCAAAAAGTTCATGAGGAGCCAATCGTGCAAAACCTCATCCGACGATGAAACGCACTCTCCTTTACTGTTAGGAGCACAGGGCTCAACTCTGAGCAGCACTTTTTCTTAATTTCTTCTCCTCCAAGACGTCTTATCTTGACCAAACAGAGAAAAACACACTGGAAGAGCCTTGCAGGCGAGATACGAGCTTGTTCTGGTTACCTGTAGCAGACGTTATCGGTGCAGGGGTTGTGGACTTTGACGACGACAAACACATGCTGGAAATGCGAGCGGATGTTTTTGGGAGTGAAAGGAAGAGCCCCAGGCTCCTGGAACACTATGGTGACGATGTCATTGCCGATATGTCTCTTCCTTAGTAACTAGAAGGAAAAGAAAAAGGAGTCAACCCCAGAAAAAGGACGAATGTTAACCGATATAAAGGACTGAGAGAATATGTTGAATTCTCACGGCAGATAGCCGCAGAGAAGACTGGCCAAGAATTTCAGATTTATCAACCAAAACAAAGATTTAATTAGATTTCCAGTTTTATGATGTACTTTTAACCTTCAAAATATCATCAGTACAAACACTACAATACCCATAATACCTTGAGTACACCAACCAGAAGAACGCAACTTATAAACAAAGTTCCCAAATTTCTAGTGGTTTAGGCTCCAAAATCAACTTAAAACGGTTTCAATGTGATTTATTTCGATTTTCCAGCACTTGAAGATGTGAACTAGGGGTAGACTCATATATCGGTCGACACGTATTTACCATATTTTATATATCAGCATTGGCAGATTTCTCCTTAGTAGAGCCGATTTAATGTCGGGCACATCCCCGGGCAGCCCGGTGCTGCAGCAGAATTTATGTATATTTAATTATTGACATCTGCATAACACATACAGTGATCCCTCGTTTATCGTGGTAGATGCGTTCCAGACCTGGCCGCGATAGGTGAAAATCCGCGAAGTAGGGACACCATATTTACAGTACAGTACTATATTCAGTTATCGTATGATCACATTCTCTTTTTGTGGGTAAAACTCAAGAAAATTTTTTTTTACTTGTTTTTTTATAGTTTTATTACAAAAAGTGCATTTTATGATGAAATTGATGAAAAAAACAGGAATTTCTTGATATTTCGCATAGAAAAATACAGCGAATCGGTGAAAAATACCGCGAATCGGCGAATTTCCCTTGAATAAGGCTCCAAAGAAAAAAATCTGCGAAGTCGTGAATCCGCGATAAACGAACCGCGAAGTAGCGAGAGATCACTGTAATCTCAATTTACCAATTTTGAATGTTTAGCATTTGGTCAGTCTGTTGATTTGTTTAACCTTAGTTAGATGTCTGATTTTAAAACTGAACAAAGCCCCAAAATAAGATTTCACGGTTTGTTAATTCAGTGTTCAAAAAAGTGATTCAGCTAATGTTATAAGTGACCTTTTGGCAAGTAAATAAAGTGGAAAACTGGATATCAGTCATGAAAATCGGCCAAAAATCAGCATTGGTATCAACAAAAGACAAACCAATATTGGTCTACTTCTAGTCTAAACAGACATGAACAGTAAATCTATGCTCAAAACAATCGTTTCACTTCCTTGGTTCACCAATATCATTCGGCAAA